CGTTATAACGCATTTTCTCATAATACAATAATGACAATGAATACACTTTATAATTATGTAGGATTTAAAGCACTGAACAATTCTAGCCCCTTTTATATCTCTTCACTGATCCATAGGTATGCCCCTCCTCGTTCCCTCCGCTCTGCCCATGACCACTTCCTGACCGATGCTCGCACCCGTACGGCCAACTCACGCTTGCAGGACCTCTCGCGGGTGGCTCCTTTCCTAAGAAATAGCCTGCCTATCCCATCAGACTCTCTCCCCTAGTGTTCCTTTAAGAAGGGCCTTAAAACCCATCTCTTCAGGAAAACGTATGGACTCCCAGAGTAACCTCTACCTTAAATACCTGTCTCTTGCTCTCTCCTATAGGGCCGTGCTTTACTCTCTCCTCCAGCTCTGCTTCACTCCTACCCTATTTGATTGATATTCCCTGTCCTAACGTGTCTTATACCCCACCTCCTATAGACTGTAAGCTCATTTGAGCAGGGTCCTCTTCAACCTATTCCTGTAAGTTTTCTTGTAATTGTCCTATTTATAGTTACATCCCCCTCTCATAATATTGTAAAGCGCTACGGACTCTGTTGGTGCTATATAAATGGTGATGATAATTTAATGTGCTGCTATCCAACTACTGCTACCCAAATACATTTCATGAATACTTATGCATGAGAACATATTATGCTGTAACACTATCTGAACTAGCTGTAACTGGCTATTTATAAATGAGGGAAAGATTAAAGTTAGATTGTTAGTAGAGGAAAATGTTTGCAGTTATTTATATTCATTATTTTATCTTATAAGATTGCATTATCTGTGATTATTTTTTTTTTTTTTATTGTCAATTCACAAAAACACATTTTTATAAAATTAGATACATTTTATATAGATTTGTGGTTCCAAACAAGATGAGGATGTCTGCAATTATATAACCGTATAATAATTATACTATGTAACAAAAACATTCATAGATAAAATATGCTAGGAGAATGGATTCCATGTGCACTAAATGCCTAAAGACACGCTTTATTTTACATTCATTTTACCATGGGATCATGTGCGTATTATGTCTTGTACTATTAAGGATCATGTGCTTTGAAGCCATTGGGCCCTTATGCAAGATAAAAAGAGAACAGCAAGGAAGATAAGAAAAATTGGCACGCAAAAAAAAACCACACACCATATATTGCAATTATTAGAATTTTTTTTACCTATATAAATTATCAATAAAATTTGTTAAAGTGTGAATCTATAAAAATGGCAGCAAAGTACATGTAGAATGATCATATATCTGGCCACTTACTATAATAACAAAATGTAATGGTGTTAAAATAAAAAGAAAGAGATAGTAAAACCCTAAATATGTCACCATAGAACTATCATGACTATATTATTCAATTCTAAACCAAAAAAGGTTGTACTAACAGTCATACTAGGAATTATTGCTTCAATATAAAAACGGATTCCATCATGGAGAAAGACTAATTCAGGTTACAGCCACTCCACCTTATGCATTACGTATTGTAGTAAGTTCAAATCAGTATACATTTTTTTTTTTTTTTTAAACCTACACATCAATTAACACTTAAGCGAAACATTTTGAAAAACACACAATTCATAGAAACAAATTTTAAGAAGTGCTTATAAAAGAACGCTTCATATATCTGAAAAATCCTTTTAAACTCAGTGTTACAAAAATAACTATACTTGGAAACTCCATTAAATCATTCAATAATCTTTCATCAGTTTAAAGCTACATTGCTCTAAGTGCTTTACTATAAATATGCAAGGAAGAATCCTCCACACAAATTGATAAAATTAGACAAAAAACATGCAAAAAAATTCTTCCATTTTTATCTTTGGTGCAGGCAAACTCCACCATAGTACTCATAAACTTAAGTGCCTTAATTTAAAGTGACAGTGCCCAAAATCATCCATCCATCAAATTTTGAGGTAGTGTATTTAAGAAAAATAAACAGCTGAACCAGACAAACTCTACAAGTCGGCCAAGCTGTCAGTTTGGCCATGAAATCTGGACTTAATCAATTCAATCCAGGCCCTGAGGCTTCAACAATGGGAAAAGTAAAAAAAATTAAAAAAAAATCAGGATTTGCCCTCTGGCAGCACTAGCAGTGAGCAGGCAAATTGTGAAAAACCCTCTGCAGTGCAAGGGTTAATCATGTGGCAACTGGCCAGCACTTGTTAGCCAGCTGCCACATTACAAAAGTAAAAGAAGTAAATAAATAGAAATCCTATGGAGGTTAGTAAGATTCCCATATTACTATAATGGAGATAAGGTTTCTCCATATGTCCTCACCTGCCATCTGGCAGATGGGGACATGTCTACTAATCATTAAAAACTAGCGACATGTCTACTAATCATTAAAAACTAGCGACTGCTCAGTGGCAAAAATAAAGCTCCATTCCATGATGATGAGGCCTGTTAACCACCCTAAAACCCACTCATGACCATTGAGTGGGGGCTACCTTACATTTTAGAGGGCTGACCTATTGTCCTCTCCCCTGGCCAACACCCATTGGTGATGGTCATTGCCCTCATATTAAAAAGCTTATTGTCACCTCCTCCGACCCCCACCCACGGGCAGCATGTGGGGGCCCTAATTAATTAATTAATTATAAAATAGGGGAAGGATGACTAAAGTTGAGCGAACCCGGACTGTAAAGTTTGGGTTTGTACCGAACATTACGTTTTCTGGACCCCGGACCCAAACACGTATATATCCCTGTATGTTCGGGTTGGAGTTCGTCAATTTAATGGCGGGTTTTGAAAGGCTGCAGGGCAGCCAATCAACAAGCGTTTGGATCGTGTGCCCTTAGAAGCCATCACAGCCATGCCTACTAATAGCATGGCTGTGATCAGCCAGTGCAGCATGTGACCCAGCCTCAATATATAAGCTGTAGTCGCGTAGCGCCGCACGCACATGAGCTCTTACTAGTGTAGGGAGAGGATGCTGCCGCTTTCAGGGACAGATTAGGAAAGAATTCTGCAGACTAGTACATTACTGGGGTGCATTTCATATCTGAGAGTCAAATCGGAGCGTCAAATAGTGGGGTTACAGCGCAATTGCTAACATTCTTATTTTCTGGGTGCTTATCTGCTAAATAGTAAATTTGGGGTGTGCTCTTTATATCTGAGAGTCAAATAGAAGCGTCAAATACTGTGCTTTCAGCGCACTGTGAAAAATTCAAATTGTTTGGGTGATAAAAAGTAAATTTGCGGCCTGGACTTCATATCTGACAGTCAAATAGAACCGTCAAATACCAATATAACAATATTGTAATTCGGGGGCAATACCCTCACAAGTCAAACTGATAGGTCAGTTTATAGGGAAAACTGTTGCCTGGATACAATTCTAAAACAATTCCTATATGTCCTTTGCAGAGCTTACATGCTGGGAAAAACACAGGCGCCAACTGCTGTAGCTTTCTGCAGTGTACAGACCGGCAAGGAGGGCAGGGTTGAGGAGTGGGTGGGTGGAAGGATGATGTGGAGGATGATGAGGTCCTAGACCCCACATGGAAGTAAGGTCATGCGAGTGACGTGTGCAGTTTGGAGGAAGATGCAATGGTCGCACAGAGGCACCAGCACAGCATAAGAGGGAGCAGGGTGCAAAAGCAGAGCGGCCGTCCCCTAGCGCTCGTCGGCATGTATTATCTTTAGAATTCCCACAGTTATCCAAGTAGTGATAAAAGGAGCCATAACAGATTTAACAAGCCATTCGCAGTTTCGCAGTCCGGTGACCAGGACCCAGACACTGTCTGGGCGGCGGTCGGACGACCGGGACCCAGTATGTTGAAGTTAGGAGTCACAGTGTGGAATGGATTAGCAGGGTCTGGTGCAGGGTAACCGCATGCCCCCTGGTGTTGAGCAACAGCGTTTGTCCGGTCACATACCAGGACCCTGATGCAGCTTCAGTAAAAAGAGTACTGGATACCAGAAGCCATCACCAGCATAGGCGTGTGCACGGGTGTGCCGGGTGTGCCTAGACACACCCTAATCCCCGTGGCCTGCGCTATGTGCCTCCCTCCATGGGCTGGTGAGGGAGGCAGGAGAGGACCCGGGGAGCTCTTGCCAGCAGCTCAGCTGGGTTCCTCTTTCGAGGTCGGTTACCGCGGCAACGCTCAGATCTCAGATCAGGATGCGGGGCTAGAGTTCACTCACCACTGGAACACCAGAGATGGCAGCAGCAGGGTCCCCCCTCCCTACAAAAGGTAAGAAGGGAGGGGGGATATTAACGCCCCCCCACCTTCACACAATACACACAAACATACAGCACACACACATACATCAGCCTTACACACACAGCACTCACACTAACAGCACCCTTACACATACACACACACACACACACACAGCACCCTTACACACAGCACCCTCACACATACACACACTAACATCACACACACACACTAACATCACACACACACACATACAGCACCCACATACATCGCCCTCACACGCACAGTGCCCTCACACACAGCGCCCGCCCACACACACACAGCGCCCGCCCACACACACACAGTGGTATATGTGTGTGTGTGTATATGTGTATATATATATATATATATATATTACGCGGCGTGTGTGTTTGTGCTTTAGGGTGCACACCCTTATACAATAGGCTGCGCACGCCTATGATCACCAGACTGATCCGCAACTTGGAACAGGATGTGACATTCACTGTAGCGGCTATGCGCGCTTTCGGCATTCTCACCCTGCTGCTCGCCTGTCTGCGCTGCAGTGTAACTTTGGCCTTCCCGCTCAGCGCCTCATATGCGACGTGCCCACAAAGTGGAACTCCACCTAGCACATGCTGGAGAGACTGTGTGAGCAGCAGCAGGCGATAGTGGAGTTTCAGCTGCAGCACACATGGGTCAGTCACTCTGCACCAGACTTGCCCTCCAATTGATCAGAGTTAAAGGATTTCAAGTGGACTCATTACAATTACAGGGCCTCTAAAGTGTCCTGTATTGTTATTTGTCGTCACTACCTTCCCGCGTTGGGAGTGGGTCATTTGCGCGCCTGCTGCCTTCCTTGCATGTGGTAGCCGTTTCTCAGGCTCCCTCTCCGGAATAGAACCCTGATTCCCCGTTACCCGTGGTCATCATGGTAGGCGCAGTCAATGGCATCGAAAGTTGATATGGATGAAATACAAATGCGTCATTGTCTTGTCGTTGGGAAGCCGATTGGAAAAAGTGCTCTAGCATGACGAGCTGGGTGATCTCCTCTGGGAACTTGACCTGATGGGAGTTGAGCCAGTTCTGGGTGGCCCTTGTGATGCGGCATGCCCACTCCGCATGGGAGTCCTTCTTCCCTTTCTGGGTCTCCCTAAACTTTCGGCGGTATTGCTTGGGGGTGACCGCATACCAGGCCAGGAGGATATGTGTAATAAAATGATAGTCTATGATCTGCTCTTCTGGTACAGCCTGGTAAATATCCGCTGCCTTCCCCACTAGTTTGCTGGCCAGGATGGTGACCCAGTCGCTGGGGTCCACGTCTTGGAGTAGGCACTGGCGCTCATCGATGCCTTCTTCTGCTTCCTTGAAGTCTTTGGAGGCATTGTATGGTAGCTTGTGGGCCAGGGTGGTTGTGCTTCCCGGCGCCCTCTGCTCCCTTCTTCCTTCATCTGGGTTCATGGAGGTCGCCTCTGTCTATTGGTAAGGACATAGGCTTGCACCTCCAAAAAGGTCCTGCTGACAATCTCCTCTGAGGGTGGCTCTCGGTAATATGCCAGGCGCCGTTACACCTCCTTGTGCACTTCTTCCTCATCTCCGGCCCCTGGCTGGGGTTTGTTGCCTCACTGCATGCCTGGTCGTCCTCCATGGGAGAAGCAGTCAATTCGGCCTTGTTATGCCCACCAGGCGTTATTCCTCTGGCTCCTCACAAGTCCTGCAGTGTTGGTCACTTTAGAGCGCTGTAGTCCATGGTTCTGTTGGCTGGAACATGGGAACCCGCCGCTTGCCACCAATTGAAGCGGGAACTGGGTAACCAATGGTTATCCCCTTTGATTAGAATAGGTCAGACCCATTTCCCTAGTAACCGGTGGGACACACTTCCAGGATACAACATTTGACAATCTTTATTTGGGTACACAGCTTTGCCTCCTGTTGCCTCCACCTCCTATTCAGCTTCTTCTTCCTCCTCCTCTACCACCTCCTCATCCGGTGAAACACCTTCACCACCAACTTCAGCACAGCCAGGGGGAAACGACAGCAGGCTGTTTTAAAACTCATATGTTTGGGACAAAAACCCCACACCGCGCAGGAGCTGTGGACGGGCATGTAACAACAGACCGATGAGTGGTTGTTGCCAATGAGCCTCAAGCCCGGCCTGGTGGTGTGCGATAATGGGCTAAATCACATAGCAGCTCTGAGCATAGCCGGTTTGACGCACATCCCTTGCCTGGCTGAATTTGGTGGTGCAGAAATTCCTGAGAAACTACCCAGATATATCAGAGCTGCTGCAGAAAGTGCGGGCCATCTGTGCGCGCTTTTGGTGTTCTCATCCGGCTGCTCCTCGCCTGTCTGCGCTGCAGTTTAACTTCGGCCTTCCCGCTCACTGCCTCATGAGACTGTGCGAGCAGCAGGTGATAGTGGAGTTTCAGCTGCAGCACGCACGGGTCAGTCGCTCTGCGGAACAGTTTTCTTTTTTTATATGTCCAAATATTTTGGGGGCTACCCCAATTTAAAAAAAAATAAATTAGTGTTGGCTACCTCCTCCTCCTCCAACGCCGCTTCCACCTACACCGCCAAGGTCACCACCTACTCAACCTATGGGTCACTAAGTATAAACTATGTACACAATAGCAGAGGCTTGTGAAGGCCTTTTCTCCATGCATCAGGAGTTGAGCTCAGTTTGAACAATGAAGTAGGATACCCTGCACTCCAACCCTCTCTCAAATGGATAATTCTGTTGATCCTCCTGACAGCCATGCTTTAGATTTTGATTTATGTTCTTCCAAAGCTAAAATCAAAGATTCGATCTAGTGCTATTTTATGGCTCAGCTGTACTTTTAATTTTTAGGTATTTAATGTTATTTTAAGTGATTTCCCTATCCACATTTGTTTGCAGGGCACTTGTCCTACTCTTACCCCCATTTTATTTCCTTTTGCAGCCCTCTTGCCCTTTCCAGGACTTTTTTAGAGGCTGTGGCAAACCTAGCCACTTAAGACTGTCATTATATGTATAGGGTACAATTGCTTTAAGACTGCCTGTATATGTCTGTATTCATATTCCCTAGTATAAGCAGACCGATAGCATTTGTATGGTAGCTTCACAAACAGTGATTTTAAATGATGTTTGTGAAACAAATAAACTACCGAATGGGAGACCAAACAAAGGGGGTTGTGTGTCTCCCATTAACGGTAGATACAATGTATCCACAATCTATTAAGGTATTCTGTGTGTGGCCGCCGTTCGTATACTGAACACGTGGCGGCGGCCATCTTTGTTCACGAAAGCCCAGCGGTGTTTGGTCGTCGAGTGCCTGGAACTAAAATCAGCTACTTGACGGCACGAACGCCGCTGGACTTCCAGGCCATTCGGGCATCTCATTCTTTCAGTATTTTAACATAACCGGTCTGTTCGTTCATATCAATACCCATTTGTATAAAGTTGTAATTCGAATATCGTTCATTTATTTGTGCAGGGATCTTAGCGGTATTTCCCCAGATGGTGCGCTCAGATCCTAGCTATGTAAAAAGGGGTAATTCGGATAAATGTCATGAATATTATGTCAGTTATGTATTTTTGTATAAAAAGCTGTATTTTGCTGTACTGGGAGATAATAAAATTAACAATACATTCTTAGGTGATTATCTCTCCAGTACAGCAGGGCATTGTGGTAAATGACCCTGCATAGTTAGTTTCCCACACAGTCCCCTTGATTAAAACCCCTGCAATACCAGTTTGTAAACCCCTTGCATGGGGAACTGCATAAATACCGTGACCTGTGAATAAAAGCTCAGTTGACTCCCAGACTACGTGTCGTCTAGTTCTTGGGAGGAAGGGATTATTGTAATGCTACCTGGATTATTGTATGCTGTTCCTGTCTACCAGCGGAGATATTGTGGATTGTACTACCTCTCCGCCACAGAGGCATTTTTGTGCCCAAAAGTTCGGGTCGCCATTGACTTCAATGGGGTTCGGGGTAAAATTCGGGGTCAAGTTCGATCCCAAACCCGGACTTTTTTTTTCAAAGTTCGGCCGAACCCGCCAGACCCGAACATCCAGGTGTCTGCTCAACTCTATATAAGACTTCTCCTAGCTTATACCATAATCAATTTTACACATTAAACACACATCCTCTTCTGAACTTTGAAAGATCCAGCCATATAATCTTAATGGATATTAGCTCAGCAAAACTCTTAACTTTCTTTAACCTGACTCTAGTTTAATTTGTGAATGTTCTTAACTTTTACATTCCTCAAAGTTTGTGCAAATATAAAACGGCTATGGAACCATGCATGTTCAGGTAAGGTCATCAAAAATCTTGACAGTTTTAGAAGACCTTGTGGCTCATAATCTTCAAGCACAACCACAGATTGCATTAGGAAAATACAAATTAAATTCAATAACCCTATCTAGCCTACCCTTTCCCTGTTTAAAAGCAGTGTTCTTGTTCTTGATCCACGTTTATTTTAGGGCAGCTATCAGATCATGCAAACCTTTCCATTGTAACGGTATCTACTATCTCCACATTTCTTGATTTGGCTGACCCATGCAGGGCAGCCTTCATAAATTTTGCAGCACCTAACACAACTCCAGGTCTGGGCCCCCAGATGCCCACCTCCAAGCCCACCCACAGGGCCCAAATCTAAGTCTGCCGACAAGGATGCAGTGTTCATAAGGGGTGTGTAAAGTGCCCACGGTGCGTGTTAGTGCATGTGTAGAAGATGCAGTGCATGTGTGTGTGTAGTGTATGCAGTGTGTGTATATTGTGAATATATATAGATAGATATACACAATTTGTGTTTGAATGTAAGCATGCTTTTGTATAGAGTATGTGCATGAATGTAGGTGTGCATTTGAGTGTAGTGTAGGCACTTCCCCACACACTTATACACATACGCAAATACATGGATACACACACTGACACACACTGTAACACTGATACACAGATACACATACAAAGATACACACACAATGATACAGAGACACACACACATACTGACATGCATACAGACATACATACATACTGGCTTTTGCCTCCTCATGGCCTCCGCGCTGTCTCTTCCCTCCCACACAGAGTAAGCTAGGAGGAAGTTACTGGGCTACTTCAATCTACATTTCTTCTTATATAGCAAATATGTAGCCGTACTGTCAGACCAAGTTCATTAAATCCTGACTTTGCGACCATTACATACTTTCACCTAAATATTATCTGTACATTCTATCCCCTCTAAAGTCTGTGCACACCATACCCACTTCAAGCAATAACTTCCATTTCATTACTGGCCTGCCATTTTTAAAGGGGCCCAGTCATGATATTAAAGGCCCACAGCGTTGACTGGGCCCCTGAAGACATATGCCCTTCAGGCGGCCCTAAGTGTATGGACCATCCAACGGGCCTCATCATGGGCCCTGGTGCAGTTGCAGTACTGCCGCTATAGATCGGTAATGTGGGGTCCGGACTGCTGGGCCCATGACAACCATCATGGTTGTCACCCCCTGATGGCGGCCCTGATCCCATGCATATTTAACACCTGTAAAAAAAAATTAATAAACCACTGACTTTGCCTGTAATTTACAGGTTCTTAAAAATACCCTAATTTTTTTCTTTTTTTTCTTTCTTTCTTTCTTTTTTTTTTTTAACAAACTTTGCAAAAAAGCAAAAGAGGTTCAGAAAGGGTTGACCTAAGTGCTAAGGTTATATTCAAATTTCTGTATCCTATACTAGTAACAGAGCTCCTCTATTAGTATGTTACTGCATTAAAAAAAGGATGAAGGTTGAGATGGGATATGGAGCAGATCAAGCAGAAGAATAGAGGGTAAACAAAAGTGAGCAAAATTAAAGAAGGGGCAAAATTGAGAAGAACTGCATGCTTTACCTTGGGAAATAATGCCACTGAGGGACTTGTCAGACCAAATCACTATGTACAAGTGACATGGATTCAGGAAAATATTGGATGGGTGAAATGCTGAACCTCTGATTGGAACTGCCTTAACATGGAACATGAAGCTGAAATACTGACAAGAGAAATGTTCTGCTATTAGTAC